GTGAAGACGAGGTTTTGGGATTTACTTCCTTTGTACAAGAACTTGTAGCATGGGCAAGCCAGGGATCTGTCCAGTTTGGACGAGAGATCGAACAGTCGACTCATTGGCCTTCGAGTATTGCTTGGAGTAGCTTGAGTGTTGACCAGCAGTCCAGAGCTGTGAGACTTAGTGCCATCCTGAAGGCGACTTTTGAATCTCATGGTAGGATTGCAGTCATGATTCAATCATTTCAAGAAGGGATCGACATTGTTCCTGGTGTGACTTTGGGAGATCCGTACAGCAGTAGCAATCTGTATCTTGGAAATGGTTTCGAACTTCTTAGGCAATTGTCCCAGGAATTCAGTCTCCGTAGTAGAACTGAGGGTCTTTCATTGCGAGTGCAGTTGCTGAACAGGGTTTTTCAAGGACAGGACAGTTCGGATTTGATTCGTCAGATCGAGCTTGCATGTGCCAAGTACACACGCATAATTTCCACGTTGTTGGGTGACAGTGCAGGATTAGCAATTGGGGATTCTGACATGTTGACCATGCTCGTTCGTTACCTAATGATGTTCGAAACTACTGTTTGATGCACAGTAGTGGGGAATCATACTCAAGTTATCGACTGGCTGCACGTCGGTTTGAACAGCAGCATAGGCTTTTCAAGGACTTGAAATTGCAGTCAAGGAAGGTTGTTGCAGGCTTGAATCCTGCCACTCCGGTGGTCGAGGAAGAAGAAGGTGAGGAATCCGAAGGTTCGGGGGATCCTGTTGTGAATGCTGCATTGGACAAGGACAAATCTGGACCACGTTGCACAAAGTGCGGAAAGCGTCATGATGTGTCTGTGTGTTCAACCAACATGGAGAAAGTCAAGTGTTATAAATGCGGTAAGACAGGTCATATCTCTGTGAATTGTCGGGTGAAAACTGGTGACAAGGATTTTTCAAAGAATTCTTCAACTGGAAAGGGTGGTAGCACTAGTGTTGCCCCGTCAACATCTAAGAAAGGTGTCAAAGGTTCAGGCAAAGGTGCTGGGAAATTGGGCGGAAAGAAAGGAAAAATGTTTGCGATGGTCGATGATAGTGGCACTTGGTGGTACTCTGAAGGTTGGTGTGGTGATCAACCAGCTGCGGAAGAGGCGAGTGCTGAACCTGATGGCCAGCAAAAGCAAGATGTGCTTGTTTTGAGTGCTTTGGTTTCTTGTCCCGATGTGCCATGTTTGTCTTGTGAACCTTGCGTGTTTGACATGAGCTTGGAAGATGATGACGGTTTGTATGTTGAAGATCACTTTGAGGGGTTTGACTTGCGTTTGAACCGTGATTTGATTTGTTGTTGCCTGAATTCCAACTCTCATGACATGCATGACTTCTTGGACATGTGGCTTGATTGTAGTGATCTTGGTGCATGGACATTTGAAGCATGTTGTTTTGACTTGAACTTGCTTGCATGGACGTTTGACGCATGTTGTCATGACTTGAACTTGCCTGCATGGACGTTTGAAGCATGTCGACTTGATTTGAACCCGTTTGTGCATGTTGGAGTTGACTCTGTTTGTGAACTGGACCCTATTGATGAGAAAAATGAGCCCAATGCGCGCGGCACACATGGTGTGCTGAAAGCACGAGAGTCGATGACTGAGTGTTTCGAGACTGAAAGGCACATGGTCCGGGTGAGTCTTTTTGGCTTCTGGATAGTGGTGCTAGCATGTCTGTTGTTAGCCGAGATGTTTTGAAACAGTTTCAACACTCCGAAATCCAAAACAATGTAGGGCCGTTGCAAGCTGCTAATGGAACTTCAGTTGATTTGGAAGGTAGTTGTAAATTGCTGTTGCAGATTGAGGTTTTGGACAGAGACGGAAACGTGAAACCAGCTGTGATTCCTTTGGACGTCATGGTAGGGAGAACGACATATCCTATTATCTCTGTTTGCAAGTTGACACAACAGGGTTGGGACGTGACTTTTGACCAAGACCATGTTAGGATGGTTCATAGGAAATCCCAACATGAGGTTCGTGATTTGTCTTTTTGGCATGACACACCATGGGTTCGTGTTGTTCCATATGAAGGTAATGATGTAGCCCTCAATGTTTCTCCGGTGGTTGCGGATAGTTTTCCAAAGGGGGACACAGTTTGTGCCTTGAGCGCAGACCAGATGGTGCAGCACAGACTCAGAGGACATCGTCCCTATGAGCCGACTTGCGAGGTTTGTCAGAGTTGCCGTGGAGTAACTAAACATTCCCGAAAGAAAACCACCAAGGGAACTGAATTTGAAATTCATGCTGATTTTGGTTTTCTCAACAAGGATTTTGAGTGGGTACCGGAATCTGGAGATAGCGAAAGGGGGAATGTGAAGTTTCTTGTGATCCGTGAATCCTACAGTTCAAGCATTGGTTGTGTTCTTATGACTGGTGATCGACAGAGGGATAACCGCCAACTTCAGAAGTGGTTGTTTGAAATGGGTTTATGGGGTAGCAAGGACCAACATTCTCTGAGAGTAATCACAGATGCTGAATCTTCTGTTGGGAATTTCATTGCATCAGCAGGGTTGCCAATGGGTGTTGTGGTTGAAAGGGCACCACCACAAGGGCATCAAGCGAATGGGACTGCAGAGAGAACTATTAGGGAAATCAAAGAGAGTTTGAAAACGTTGCAGTTGGATTTTCAGAAGATGGGACATACTCTGGTTTTCAGTTCTCCAGTTTTGCAGTGCTGTTTGAACTACATTTGTTTTGCCCACAACAATTTCACGACTGTTCAGCAGTCCAGCCGAACTCCGAGAGACTTGGTGATTGGGGACACAGCCAAGAATCATGCTTTTGCACTGTTTGGATGTAAGGTTTTAGCCGAAGTTCCTGAATCCATCATTGCAAAGAATCCTAATTTGCCAAGGTTTGTCGAAGGGGTCTACTTGCATCCTGAGTTTTCGTCAATGGGAGTTTGGGTTTCTGCAAGAATCCGAATTGGTTCAGAGATGGTTATCCAGCGTTTTGTTGCCAAGTCAATCAAACTTTGCATGCCTGTTGAGATTCTTGATGGTCATGGTTTGTTTGTCAAGTTGGTAGATGAATGTAGTGGGTTACCAGAGGCTCCAAGGTCTTCAGAAGAGGTTTCTGTTCCATTGCCAGCAGACTTGAGATGTCCTGCAACTGGACCACCTGTGAAGTGGCTAGACGAACATGGGGTATCGTTGAAGTGTTCTGCTTGTAGATAGAAATTAGAGGGACCCGGGGGAATAAGAATCACTCTAGGGAATGTATGGAGCGGTATGAGAATTGGATACGTTCTGAACTCAACCAAGCCAAGGGCTCTGAGCCTTCTGATAATAAACCAAAGGTTGAACAGGAGGTGAAAAGTGAAGGGTCTGGCAAGGAAGTCTCTGTTCCTAGTGGTGTTCCTTTGACCCGTCAAGGTGCCTTGGATTCTTTCGAGGAACTTGATCCACTTGCGTTTGACCCACAGGATGATGTGTTGACTGGACCAGCCGCTGAACATAAGATTGAACCAAAGGTTGAATCCCAGGAGCCGGTGGATGTGAACCTTGGGGATGGGGAAGGGAGCACGTCCCAGGCTGGGAGTTCTTCTCAGTCTGGTGGTGTTTCTCGACCTGATTCCCTTGGTAGCTACCCTAAGGCATCTGTTGGAGTCAAGCGAAAATGGTCAGAAGAGGATCTCATGATTGAGAAAAGAGGTCTGAAGCGGGAACCTGATGTGGAACTTGCGGAATTGGATCGGGAGGTCAGGGATGACAACAAACGTATTGATGTAAAACCTGACATTGCTGGACTTGTGTCTGGCTTGACATGTGATTCCTCGTTGTCTGAGACCCCCATCAATGACTTGCACGAAGTGTATGCGTTGGCTTTTCTCACAACTGACTCGGATGACCTCATTTGTCACTTGCCTCTTGCTTCGTTGAAGTTTGACAAGAATGCCTCCAGTTCTGTTGTTTCGTTTGGTGACAAGCGTATTCGGATCTGGTGTCCCAGTGGCTCCATTGATGATTCAACATTGGAGGAGTTGCCTGGTGACTTGACTCTTGATGGTATGAAAACTGAAATAAGCAATTTGGATTGCATGCAATGTGGTGACTTGATGACTGAGTCCGAGATCGGTGACTTGAGGAAGCAATGCAGGGTTATTCCATCTCGATGGGTGACTACTCGCAAGAACGCGACTTTGGTTCGTGCTCGGATTGTCTTGAAAGACATTGCAAAGGGTGCTGAATCAGCCCGGTCACTCGGAATATCGTCACCCACTCCCTCGAGTGAAGCGTTGTTTGCCATGTTGTGCTTTGCTGGTCAACGAGATTGGCTGGTTGGGGCAGCTGACATATCGGCGGCCTTTATGGCCACGCCGCTACGTTCCCGGAATGTGATTGCCAAGTTGCCTGCAAGCATCACTTCTATGACAGGAGAGGCGTTGTACCTATGGCTGAGTAAAGCCCTGAATGGACTGAGGAGTGCCAGCCAGGAGTGGAATGTGTACTTGTCGTCGATTGTTGATAAGTGCAGGTTGCGTTCTTGTGGTTTGGAACCTTGCTTATACAGCGGTTTGTTGCCTTCCGGTGAACCATGCATGATTCTGTCATATGTTGATGATTTGATTTGTGTTGGGCCATCGGTTGATGCAATTGACTTTGTCTTTGATACCGTTGGGAAAAGTGTGAGGTTGAAAAGAACTGGTTTGATACATGATCATTCGAAAGGGGGACAGTTGAGGTTTTTGGGAAGGCTTATCACTAGGAGGCGTGGTGAGAAGTCTTTGTTGATCTCACTTCCATCTAACTACCTGGATGACACGTTTGCCAGTTATCAAATCAAAACAAACGCCAAAGGTCCACCTGACGTGACTCCGGTCATCGACAGAGACGGTGGTGAAGAAATGAGTAGTGATGCTTATGCACGATTCAGGGCAGCTTTAGGTAAAGTGTCTTGGATGGCCCAAACTCGTGGAGACTTGCGTGCATGGATAGGTATCCTAGCGACTCAGCAATCACGGCCAAATCAGTATACGGAACATGCCATGCGTATGCTGTTAAGATACCTTAGAGGTGACATGAATGTTGCAGTTAGGTTTCCAAGTGATTCACCATTGTTGTACTCAGAGGTTTTTCAGGGATCACACATTGTTGCATTCTCGGATGCGTCTCACGCACCGTTGAAAGCGACCGGACGTCGTGGAATTTCAGGAGGTGTTCTGACTTTTCAGGGATGTACGTTGAAAACGTTGTCCAGGCATCAAGCCCTGGTATCACTGAGCTCTATGGAGAGCGAGCTGTACGCACTTCAGAGTGTGAGTCAGGAGATGGTATCTATGGGAAAGATGCTTGGGAGAATTCTGTTTTCCTTCAAGGAGATTGATTCCAGTGAGATTCCAGGAGTTCTGCGAACTGACTCTGAGTCGTCGATCAAACTGTTGAAAGGTTTGGATTTACCACGAAAATCTCGACACCTTGAGATTCGGATTGAATGGCTTCGAGAGAAAGTGGAACTGGGAAAGTTGAAAATCCACTATGAGAAGGGGTCCAATAATCCAGCTGACGCTTTGACAAAATGCCTGGGGAGCTCAATCTTTGGGATACACAGAGCAGCAATGGGTTTCGAGGTTTTGGACGCTCCTCTGGGAGCTATCATGGCCATTTCGAGTGGTTTTGTGTTCATTGAGGTGTGTTGCAAACCGGACTCCAGCATTTCCAAGGTAGCTAGAAGGTTTGGATTTCTGTACATTGGTGTTGTTGAGAATATGGAAAAGAAAACTGTTTTTGATCAGGTGGTTGCTGCATTGAAAGATCTGGGAAATTCAAAGGTTTTTGTCCATGTTTCATCACCATGTTCTTCGGGATCTCCATTAAGAAATTTCAGGGGTGACGACACGGCCACTGAAGCGGATGTGATTTGGTTTGATGTTATCCCTCATGTTGCCAAATACATGAAATTGGGGAAATATTCATCTTTCGAGTTGCCATGGAGGAATGCAATCTGGACTCATGCCATGACCACGAAGATTCTGAATCAAGCTCAACATAAACATGTTGCGGCTGTGCACTTGTGTTCAACAGGTTCAATGACTAAGGACGGAGAACCGGTTGGAAAGGTGTTGAAGTTCACCAGTAACAGCAAGTTGATGGTTGGTCGATTGGCCAAGGACTTTGGACAGTGTCACTGCACTCAGAAACATGCTGGTTTGACTGATGTGGATTGGGCAGAAACTGCTTTCTACAATGAGAATCTAGCTGTTTCGATTGTTCGTGGTGCTTTGGACGCATTGAGAAATGATGGATAGTTTTGTTGTTGCTGTTGTGAATTGAGGATGACAGGTTTCTTGATTCGATTTTGGTTTTCGAACTTGAGCTGACGAAATAAAGTTTGATCTGAAACGATCGTGCACTAAAACTTTGAAACTGATCTCAATGCGAAGCATGGGACATGTCTTGGACTTGATGCAAACTGTTTTGAACTTGTCTGAAACAGACTGGACTTGACATGCGTTGCAGTTTGGAAAGGTCTAAGATCTTTGACTGGAACATGTATAGTTTGAGGTGTGTGTATCTGGTATGTGGGCGGGCCTTGAAGGTCTGTGTGGGTGCCAGGTAGGCAGGTCTCGTTCTTTCTTGCGTTTCACTGACCTTGCTCTGGTAGCTACTGTGGAGATCTGTTTGGATTCTTGGCTTAGGCTTTGTGTTGTTTCGGATTCTAAGTAGCGCCGAAGTAAGACTTACGTTTTACTCTCCTCACTTGCTGAAGCCATGGCTCTGTCTAAGAATGCAGCTGGATATAGTGGTTTGACAGAAGATGAGGAGAAGCAGTTGAAAGCACTGTTGAATAAGGCTCAGCAGGCTCCGGAGGCGTCTGGTGGATCAGCAATGACTGATGCTTCCAAGCGTTTGAGGGGAGAGAGTGATTCGGACTTTGAAGCAGTTGGATCTCCAACTACTCCAAGTGAGCTCTTCCGAAGTGAAGATCGCAAGGAGGTTCCATTGCCAAAGAATTGCACTCTGAAGGAGTGGTCTCACACGGTGTGCCAGCTTCCGAAAGTCAATGGTGAGCCGAAGTGGAACGGAAAGACTTATTCTGAACTGCTTAGGATGGCTATTGACGGTGACATTGAGCTGGACAAGTATCTGGGATTCATTTTCAAGACGTATCATGGGTCCTATGATGGAACTCACAAGTCTCAAGCCGTGGACTTGGCTGGGTTTCTTCTCTATATGGAGTTTGATCTTGAGAGAGAGCCAGCTGGTTCTTGGAAGAGAGTGGTTAAGCCATGATCTCAACGTGACTCCGGTCATCGATGCATGGGCTTTGCGATTCTGAATGTCTCCAAGGGGACCTGATTTATTGGAAAGGTCTATGTATTGAAACAAAGGTATCTGGCTTCGATTGCAATTTCTGTTAGACACATGGTGTCGCTTTGGGTTTTTGCGGTCCAGCTGGAAGAGAATGGGATCAATGTGGCTCCGGCCAACAGCCTTTGATACAGGAGACTTCCTTTCTGTTAGACACTGAAGACTTTTCGAGTGGGATGTGTCGTTTTGGGTTTGGAAGCAGCACGCCGAAAGGGGGTGTGAATATATGGTATTGGACCGTCGTGCTTCTTCACGATGTACGCTGGGATTAGACCGTTGTGCACCTCTATTTGGTACAATAGTTCATTGGATGATGCTTCTATGATACTGCATTTGACATCGGTATTCATTGAGATTCTGCACTTTTGATGAGCTGAGAATGTTCTAGAATGGACGGTATTTCATTGGATGCTATTTCAGTGACATTGCGTTTTGACCACTGTATTTGCTGGAATTTGCGTTTTTCAATGAGACGAGAGTGTTTTCGAGCTTTAGGGATTTAGCCGATTTGACCACAGTTTGTTTGGAACGGTTTTGGAAACATTTCAACATTTTCGGAAACGTTCGGAACATTGAAGAAGTATTTCAATCACCTTTGGACCATTTGAAGATGATTTGACATCACGAAGTTGTTCGTCAAATCATGCTGTAAAGATTTCTGTGAGTATCATCATTGGATGATATGGAAACGGCAAGTTTTGGTGCAACCAATTTTGTCGATGTTGTTTACACAACATCTCCTGTGAAGCTAAGGTGCTATGGGTGGTTGATTCTTTATTATCCCGTTTGGGGTTTCTCCTCGGTGATGACAAAACACCCCGATGTGATGCCACTGTCGGCAGGTGAAAAGGGGTAAGTCTGAGGGGAGAAACCACAAACCTTGGTTTGTTGGTTTCTTGCCTCTGGTTTGTGTTTGGATTGGTTAAATCAACCACTTAATGGTACCAACTAGTTACACACTAGGTCGGAATCGTTGATTGTTGCGTAGGATGTTGTCTGAAACAACTTTTGATCTGGAATCCGCAGTTGGTACAGCAGTCTTTTGGTTTTGAGAAGTCCGTGTGACTTTGTGTTGCTCAACCAGAGAGTGGCTCGAGTAACAAGAGAATTTAAGACACTTGGTTTTGTGCCTTGTGTGACCTGTTTGTTAACGGCGCGAAAAGGATTTGGAACTCGCTGAGCTGAGTTGAGGGTTCATTAAGATTTTTACAACGGGGGTCCAAAACTGGACCCTCAGCAGGTTGAATCCGGTGCCTCCTTGTAACTGACAAGGACCGCCTTTGCGAGTCCAAATTCTTTATACCTTTCCAACCCAAAAATGGACATTAAACAAATCGAACAGTTCAGTGACATCATCTTGCGCATCTTGCGGAGTCGTCTGGAGTCACAAAGTTGGAACTCTTTCAACCCTTTCCCCATTGTGAATGGGTTTCAGCAGGTTAACGTAATAGAAAGAGCTTCGTGTTTCGAGCAGGTCGCAAGGTTCCACACTGCCAAAAATGGGACCACGCACTACCGCTTTCCTTGGACAGGACCATTTCTATTTTAATTGTAGACGAGACCAAATGTGAAAATTGTGTGACATCTGTGGTGAGATGAATCCATTTGGTATTTTCTGTATTGGAAGAAGCGAATTTGTTTGCACGTTTTATTGGAGATGATGAAACCCAACAACGATATACTTTTCGTCTTCTTTGAGTACTCTGATTGCACGGAGAACATCGTGAGGATTTGAATTTGTGTAGTGACATGGAAAATCAAACCATTTTCCATACCTTTTGCATTAGTTGTCGTCGACGAAGTGCACGAAGGAATCATGAGAAGATCGTAGAATTCATTTTTGTGACTTCGGAAGAAGGAACTTTGTTTGACATTGATCGGAGAAGTTTAGTTTGTTTTGTCTCTCAATGATGATAGCGAGAGCAACATTCTGAAAGGCATTCAGAACTGGAGTTGCTAACAGATCTGAGGGAGACATCATGAACCACGTTTAGGTGCTTGAAATGTTTCAACGTTTTTCAAACACTCAAACTTATTTAAACAATGGATTCCCCAACAACAAACTTTTATGCAACAGAATTCGCAAGCGCGTGTGCCAACTTATGGTTGTGCGAGTATGCCTGGTGGACCAAGGTCTGGAGATTTTCCAAACTTAGGAGTGAACGCAATGAGTTGCCAAGAAAACATGCCGAGTGGCCCGGTTGGAGCGAGCTTGGAAGGTTTGACGCCTCAGGCGGCGCAGATCCAAGATGTCATGGCCATGTTAGGTAGCATGAATGAGGGACAGCTACAGACACTGCAGCAGCATATGCAAGATCGTTTTGTAACTATGCAACAGAGAAGAGGGGTTCCAGAAGTGTTTGGTGATGGTCTTGGTAGGGCAGCTGATTCGTCGTTTGTGACTCCGCAGCCATTTGATGTTTTGCCTGGTTTTGGTGTTCAACAATCAAATCATGGAAATTCACAGCAAGTGGATGTCTTCGCCAAAAGCGAAAAATGGTTGACACCGGCACCAACACCAGTAGGAACTTGGAAGACAAGAGAAGAAGAGGTGTTAGGTTGGGCTGGCTGTTTGGATGAGTTGTCATCCTGGGCAGCTGGTGGGTGGAAGTTTAGAATTTTCTCTAGAAATCCAGCATAGTAGCCGTTGGCCCGGTCCCATCAGATGGAGTGCTCTCAGTGGAGCACAACAGGCAAGGTCTCGAAGGCTTATGTCCATCTTAAAAGCTGCGTTTCACGACAACCCCAGGTGTGTGGCGGTGGTGAACGCCTTCAGTGAGGGTGTGGCATTACATGGAGAGGATCTAGTGACAGAGTGACAGTGGCAGTAAACCAACAAGCAAACGGGTTTGAACTGCTTAGGCAACTTACTCTTGAATTTTCTCTGAGGTCAAGATCCGAAGCGCTCTCACTAAGGACGCAGATTGCAGGGAGATCCTTTGTCCTGGCGGCGACTCAGACATCGCCGAGTTCCTTGGTTAGTGATACTATCAGAAGAATTGACTATGAAGCCGCAAGGTTCTCAAGGTTACTAGGAACTCTCCCTATGCAGGTGGACACCACAGGACTGAAGCTGGCAGACTCAGACATGCTAGTTGTTCTGTTGAAAAGCCTGCCTGAAACAGTGAAGAACTACGTTCTACACCACAGCGGCGCAGACAATTACGAGTCCTACAGGAACGCTGCGATGCGGTGGGAAGAGCAGCAGCGCCTGTTTAGCGATTTTGAGACAACAGGCCACAGCAAGAGATTGAGCTCCCTGGAGGGGAATGTAGAACATCATTCTCTTGATGCCGAACTCGTCGATGCGGTGGAAGGCAGATGCGGGAAGTGTGGAAGTCGGAAACACACTGCAGCAGCTTGTACCGCAGACGTGAGCAGGATCCGGTGCTTTAGATGCGGTAAGACCGGACACGTCAGCTTCAATTGCCCTGAGAACAGAGAAGGTAAGGGAATTGTAAGGACTGACACTTGGGACAAGAAAGGTTCCAAAGGAAAAGGCTCTAAAGGTAGCAAAGGAAAGGGAAAGAAAGGCAAATTGAATGAAGTTTCAGAGGATTGGACCGACTGGACTGCTGAGAGTTGGGACGATGATGACTATTGGTGGCATGACCAATGGCCGGAGAGCTGTGATGGTCAATGGGGAGTTTCGCAGACATGGTGGGACGATGGTTCTGGATGGTATTGCGACGGGTATGGGTATACCTGGCAACAGGGACCAGTCCAAAGTGCGGAACCGAGTGCAAGCCACGACAATAGATCTGATGTCCAAAAGACTGGCAGTGTCGGCAGCATGATCATAAATCCTTTGTGGTTTGACATGACATGTGAAACCACTGGAGGTCTTAGGTTTGTGCATGAGCATGAGTTTGCTGACATGGAAACCGAGAATAGGCTTGTGGTTGATTGCAAAGACTTTGAAAGTGAACTGGCTGACACGGGTTGTGTGCTGGCAAGGAGTTGCGACAGCTGTACTCGTGAGTCAAAAGAAGATGAACTGGCTGACATGGGTTGTGTGCTGGCAAAGAGTTGCGACAGCTGTACTCATGAGTCAGAAAGGAAAGATGAACTGGCTGACACGGGTTGTGTGCTGGCAAGAGGTTGCGACAGCTGTACTCGTGAGTCAGAAGTAGTGAGAAGTGAACCGGCTGACATGGGTTGTGTGCTGGCAAAGAGTTGCGACAGCTGTACTCATGAGCCATGGTTTTGTGGTTTGAAGTTTGGAGATGAGGTTGGACTTGGTGACAGTTCCAACTTGGAGACACGTTTTGCTAATGACCCCAGCCGAGACTTGTGTGCCACTGTACCGATGAAAGTCGTTTTGGTGCGTGCACATGATTGGTTTGACGACCACAGTGAGGTTTCGGTTGAACAACAGATTGAACCTTATTTGAAGTTTTTGCGACCTTTGCTTTCACAGGTCACTGACAACACCGATGCTTCTTGGTGGCTTCTTGACTCTGGTGCATCTACAAGTGTTTTGGCTGAGTCGAACTTGTCAGCCTTCAGGTCAGTGCTGCAGGACAGTGAGGGGTTAGGTGGCTACAAAGCTGCCAATGGATCCTCAGTCAACATGTCAGGCACTGCTGAGATTGGAGTACAGATGCACATGTCAGGCACATCAGGTGATGATTGGTGTTGGAAGAAAGGCACAACATTTTGTCAATTACCTCATTGGCAGATTCGGGATGGAGATTCACACAAGGTCCAAAAGGTTTTGATTTGTTTCATGAAAAGCTTGGAATGCATTGTCTTGATGTTGCTTATTTTGCCAATTGTCCTTGGGTTCGTTTGTATCCCGATGTTGGTAGTAGTAGTGCATACAGGTCTGACTTGACTGTGAGTAACACTCATGACTTTTCTGTCGCAGCTGTGTCTGGAGGAGACGACAGTGAACTGGCACGTCACCGGAGACAGGGACATATTCCATTCAATCCGAACTGCTTGGAGTGTGCCAAGGGTCGTTCCGTTTTTCAGCACAGAAGAGACAAAGGTGACAGGAAAGAAGTTTCGATTCAGGCCGATTTTGCATTCCTCAAGACATCAGGCGAGATCGCCGCAGACGAACTCCCAGGTTCTGTGAAGATCCTTGTGTTAACCGAGATGATGTCGAGGTGCATTGGCTATGTGGTGGTTGGAGAAGATGTCGAAGCAGCCAGGAGACAGATTGTTGTATGGCTTCAACATTTTGGGTTGACTTCGAAGGCAGTCTCCATTGATGTCCACACCGACAGCGAGAGGGCCGTGGGAGAGATCATTGGAACTTCCACTGGCCGATACACGTTCGCTATTCGGAGAGCCGCGCCACAACAACATCGATCAATTGGGTCGGCTGAGCGAGCAGTTAGGGAATTAAAAGAATCCTTTTCTGTGTTAAGAGCTGATCTGAATGCACAAGGGTTGGATGTCATGTTTTCACATGAGAATTTGGTTGATGTTTTGACGTATTTGGCTTTGTGCAACAACCATTTTTCAACATCGAGAGGTTCAGACAGAAGTCCATTGGAAATGGTTTCAGGAAGGAAGTTATCCAAACCAGTTTCGACTTTGTTTGGTGCTCAGGTTTTGGCAGAGATTCCTGATTCAATTCGGCAGCATTCACCACTTTCAACAAGGAATGTTGAGTGTACTTTCATTCACATGGGATTGGAACGAGGTCCAGTTGTGCAGGGTCTCGGTAGATTCAGCTTGCTGACGATACTTTCTCTCTAACCGTCCAAACAGGACTATATATATATATATATAGTCCGGTCTGTAACATACTTTGCGCCCGTTATACACGTATCCGTTTAACCTACCTTGCGCTGCCCGAAACAAAACCAACTCAAACCAAAACCAAATCCCAAGCAAAAATTTTTATAATTTGAAGTACGGAATCTGATCCTCACTTCTCACCTTTCTATACACGAATTCCAATCAAAGGAATCAACGGATATCACATGATCACAAAGTGATGCAGTGATAATAAAATTTTTAATGACCCTTGTGAACATCTAATTATGTGTTCGTGTGGCCATTCCTGTTTAAGGGTATGGGTGGGCGGGTTCGTCTTCATGGTTTGCCATGGACAATTTTCGTGCCATCGGGGGTGTATCTCTGATGAGAGGTACCTAGCTGGATCGAGCGCAGATCTTGGTGCTCTTTGGTTGTGGCTGCATGGATGCTACATCACAACTTACTTCGCTCACAGTACCTCAATTGGTCTCTCTGCTCATTGCGTTGGTGTGCGAACTGACCAGGAGATTGAACACTCCGATCGAAGTGGCGGCCACTATCGGTGAGGCGGCGGACGAAAGCACTCCCGAAACTGGAACATCGGGCGACGGCACTTCATCCAATCGAGCTGCATCTTCAGCAGCACCTCCATGGAGAGTGCCTTCGCCTTCGACACCACCGGCTCCGTTGCCGGCCAATCAATGTATTTACATATGCGGTGTTGCTGGTTGCGACAGTCTGTGCGCGGCGACAGGCGATCACGGATACCATCGATGCGAGCACCATTGGTGGTACTGAGCCTTTCATTGCTGTTTTGGCCAGACGGATGTATTCCGATGGGGCATGCGCAGAGCTTGGCTGGCACAGTTCAACTGAAATCGCGTGCTGAAATCCATGCTGTGTTTTTACTGCAGAGAGAGGTACTCCGTTGGATCGTGCACAAATCTTTGGTGATACATTTCAATCGAAACAGCTGGCTGGTCATTTTGTGGTATGTTTGCTACATTCAGTCTTGGCTTCGCTGTTGGATGTGTTTCAACTTTCCTATATTTGATTTATTCCTGAGATGGCAACCATTGATGCTGACGAAACAGATTTGCCAAGCGACCCTCGACCTTTGGGAGGGTTTAGGAAGAGATGGACTTCTCCTCATGCACCCTTTCAGACCTGCTGTCGAAGGGAATGGAACTTTCCTGGCTTCGTTTGGCAAGCGTTTTGCACCGACTGGCATCGGTATCAGTGAGGTTTGGCTTTCACACGTTGTGCAAGAAAAGGCGTCAGGTTCGTTTTTGGCACCTGACCTGCCAGTGGCTCCCATCAGCCTTAAGCAGGTAAGGCGTGAGCTCTTGGACGAGGACGTAAGTTGTTATATTTTGTGACATCATTTTGCAAGATCCTTTAGCTATTCAGCTGGGAACAAGTTTGCGTGGATGGTTACAACATGGTGATTTGCATGATGAAGTTGATCAGTATTTTAAGGGTACTTTTCAGATAAGGGCTTCATCAACTTGGCAGAAAAGTGCAGCCTCTCTTCAAAAGTTGGCAAAGCACTTGCAGGGACTTGGACAACTTCATCTATTGCGTGTGTCAGAGCCTCAACTCTATGCCGCGTTGTGCAACAGGCGTGCAAGTGGTGCGGGTGTAACAGCTGCTCAACATGTCATTGGGTCACGTCATTTTCTGGGTGCCACTGCAAAGTTCACAGCCATTGACACCGATGGAATGATTTCTGCAAGATTCTGGGGGTTTACCAGAGACATGTACTGTACTAAGAGCCCCCTCGGACAGAAGAAGCTGCCCACTGTCGAGCTGGTGTGGAAGCTGGAAAATGCAATGGTGACAGTTGGGAGTTTTCTCAGATGTATTGTTGAGCAACTGCTGTTCTGCATTTACTCGTGCTGCCGGTGGAAGGATGCACAGCGCCTCAAGCCCATCGAGGTTGAGACAGGCCGCGGTGAGGCCCTGTTGTATGGGAATGCACTTGATTCGAAGACAACAGTTTCAGCAGAAGCACGAACACTATTTCTGCCATATGCTGCCATTGGCACCAGTGCGTCTGGTGTGGGTTGGTCTCAGCTTTGGGTCGATGCTCGTCTCCAAGAAGGAACGACGCTGTTGACTTGGCATACCGATGAGTGCATCAGAAGCAACTGCCTGGTCGAGAGTTTTTCTTGAGAGCACCCATGGCTTTTCAACCTGAGTTGATCGGACCACATTCATGCAAGACAATTTTGCTTACATGGGCATGGCTGAAGCATCAATGTTTCAATTTCTCATGCTGAGCGCAGACCTTTTGGGACATCATCTGGCTCTTCAATGAAGAGCGTGTTGTGCAATTCGAAGGAGAGTTTTACTTCACTTTATTCGAGGGCCTACGTCAGAGTCGTCGAGAGGGAACATCTGGCAGGCTGCCGTCGGTGCCTTAGGTCCTCTCGAAATTGAAAGGCCTGACCTGAGTTTCTGCGTGCGTCAAGAAAAATTTGATCAGATCACTTCTTGAGTTGGGTTGGAATAGTTGAGAAACTTGTCAACGGTGCGGCAACCAACATGGTGAAACATGTTTGCATGAGTGAAAACATCAGCCAATCAATTTCTGAGTGACCTCTGTCCCAACATCAAGAACCGAATCTTGCAGTTGGACAAATCTCAAGGTCCGGGGCTCTCACTCAGCACATGTGCATAGGAACATGTTTTGGCCGTGTTGATTTTGTTGTACAGCTAACTGAAGCTGATCAAAAACCCCCTCAACTCCATACTCCCCTAAATCACTCAAGAGGTGAAACAAAGAGATGACGCGAAACTTTTGCACTTGTTCAGATGTTTATCCTTTGCATTAGCTGTTACGCGGCGTTTGACCCATGGCTACAACAACACTGGAGTCGAGGTCGCTTTCAAAGACAGGGCCACTTAAATAGGAGTCGAAGAACGATCCCTAGCCGAACTTGTCGAGAAGAACTTTGCAGAGTTTGGCAAGTATGAATTTTTCGTTGTTTATTCACCTAGCCATCCTGACGAATCACCTCTCAAGAGGTTTCTACAGGACTTGCTGGAAGAAGAACCTGTGCCCGACCAAATGGCCAGTTTGCGTAGGTTGTTTTTCGGATCGCATACAATGGCTCACAGATGCAAGTCAGCAAGTTGAGGTCCAGCCAGATCCAACCAGGGCCGCCAGAAAGATGGCAACTGCAGAAAGGGTAGCAAGGCGGAGAGAGCAAGAATCTCGCCCTGGTAGATTGGAGCTCACGCCTGAAACAACACCAGCAAACCATTTGGTGGACCTCTTCGTTGTGATGGGTGAATCAGGTGTGATGTCTTACATCAAGCCTGAGCAATGCTGCAGCATGGCCCAGGAAATCCAGGCCTTTAGGAAGGGTGTTGCAGTGTCTACGGACGCATCAGGTATGCTGAAGCTTAGCACAAACGTTTCGGAACCGACGTGCGTGGCAACTCTAGAGCTGGAGTTGAGATCAGCGTTTCAGCGCCGAAACATCGCAATGGACTTGGCTCGCTTGGCAAGCTGTAAGACTGCAGAAGGGTGGTCCCAGCCCTTATTTTCACGTTTACTTCGCGATCCACCACGTAGATTTGCAAAGGTGTCCATCCAGCAGCTATTGGATGCGGACCAACAATTGTTCACCATGGCCTCTTACGAGACAATGGGAAACCTTAGTGAAACCCCTAGCAAGACCAGGCCGCTTGGTGAGGCCATCAGCACCCTCAAAGAGGCAAGTGATATTTTGCAGTATCTGTTGCCCCTACCTGTGTCCAAAGGACTTAAAGCTCCTTCGGCGTGTTTGAGATGCCCTGGCAAGGTTCTAGGGGCTGACAAAGGCAAAGGAAACCCAAAGGGTTCGGGAAAAACTGGAGGCGTTTCTTGCTTACAGTTGCCGGATGGGTGCACATCTCACGATGATGACAACAAGCTACTTTGCTTTGCGCTTCAACCTGGTAAGTGCAACTTCAAAGACCCAGCTGGCAAAAGATGCCCAAGAGGATTTCCTAAGTATTATAAGAAGGAATGCCTCGGTGCAAAGCCATATCACCTCTGCAAGCCTACTGCCTGGCATGAGGGGGAGGCATCCACAGGGCCACGGGGTTCACCACCTCTTTTCGTAGAGCTCTTCGCAGGAAGAGGCCCTTTTTCACAAATGGCGCTACAGGCGGCTCAGAGTTGTTAGCGTTGATCATGAAGTGGTTCAGCTGTTTGCACCTGTGGTCACTTTAGATTTGACCACTAAAATAAGCGGGTCTCGCATTTTGTGGGATATTTTGAAAGCGCATGGAGTTGCAGCAGTGCACTTTGGTTTACAGCGCGGCACCAGCAGCCGTGCAAGGGAGTTGCCAACCCTGAAGAAATGAAAAGAGCTGGAGTTCCTGAACCCCCGCCGTTGAGATCAGCAGAGCATGCTGACCATCACTGGGAAAAGGTGAACAGCACCAACTTGCTTTACAGATTGGCTATTGAGATAGTGTTTTGGGGCCATGACAACGATGTGGTGATTGGCGTGGAAAATCCTGCCAACAGCTGGCACTGGGCAGCCTTGACGGCACTTGCAAGGGAATCTTCATTTGCAGCAGCAGTTGCTTTAGGCAAATTACAAATGGTCCTATTTCACGCTTGCCGTCATGGTTCCTCAAGACGTAAGCATTTTGGTGCAAACTCTAAGCTATTACCTCCTCATTTTCAGGGGGTTAGGTCCGAGGAGGAAGATGGGGGTTAGGTCCGAGGAGGAAGATGACAAGATGGAAGGGACTCCACTGGCTGCCTTTTCAAAGTTTGGGTTTTACCGTGCCCCTGGACAGTTTCTTTTCATGGCTCAGAGAATGTGGCGTCCTATGGATTCAGGCAACCACCTGGAGACCGTCACAAATTATGATTTGGATGTTGTTTTTCTATACCCGGCTCAGGTGGTGAAGCTGGAACGGAAGAAAAATCTCCTACAGGCCAATCTCCTGGCAACCAAACTTGCGGAAGATGAAAAGGCCTTGCATGAAGGCCGTCCCAGACCTTTACAGAAAGTGTTGCAAGACAAAGACCTCTTGGTCTGGAAAGCCCTTTTGGAAAAGTACGAGTACGATGAAATGGCTGTGGCTCCTTTCATGTGCAAGGGTATCAAGTTGGTTGGCAAACATGATGCCCCTGCCTGCTATCCTCACCTGCTGAAGCCGACCACGCTTGTCCAGGAAGACTTGGACTCTTCATCAGTCTGGAGACGGAAAGCTGCTGTGGGCCGAGTTTATCAGTTTGACCCAGCCCAAGTGGATCGTCTTGATACCACGGCTTTGGAAGGGATTCAGTTGGGCTTTCTTGAGGGACCTTTTTCCACTGAAGCGGAAGCGACGAACCATTTAGGTCGCAGTAGCGGGTGCGTGGTGTGTTGGTTTCTCAGGCCAATTGACAACTGCTTGGAAGCTCAACTGGATAATGCTTGTACTGTCTCCTCATACCTGAAGTTGCAGGATAATGATCGTGTCACTGGCCTAGCCCTGCGTATCGCAGACTCACTTGCTTTGGGCGCTACTGACCCTGGAATGGAACCGTGGCTTGGAAAGTGCCTGGGCTTGAGCAAGGCCTGCAAACAAATAACTATCCACCCATCTTACAGACCCTTAGCTGTGATCTTCTGCCACGACCACAGTGGCGCTCCTAAGTTCTACGTGGCTAACAGCTTGGTCTTTGGGGCCAGTGCAGCAGTCTACAGTTTCAACAGGGTCCCGGGGGGCTTGTGGTTCATCCTAAACAAGATGCCTGCGATTCCTTGCTGTGTCTTCTATGACTACTTCCCCATGTTTCAACCTGAGAGCCTTGTGGCCAAGGGTAATGAGGCTTTGACGCAGTCAGCGTTGACAAGGCAACAGAGCAAAGGCTGGTATGTAGTGGTGTGGTCC